ATGGGCTCCTCTTCTCAAAATTTTGAGTTTAGTAAGATTCTTTTTTTATGTTTACGAAAAAAGCCTTTTATGATCTGCAAAGGATGCATTTATTTGATAAAAAGTTTATTCTCATTAATTCTATTTAGATTTTCTATTATGTTGTATTAATGTAGCATATTGTGATGTTCCTTCCCAAACCAAATTTTCATTTTCATTACTCCAGTCTTCAGTGTCACATGATGCTTCAGAAAACATTCTAATATGTGGATTTGTTGTTCAAGAAATATTATTAAACATTAGAAAGAGACATATTAATGTTGAAAAAAGTTTCTGTTTAATATATTTGTGGAAACATTTCTCATTTTCACAGTTCATATAATTCTTTTCTTACATTATATATGTCTTGTACTTTAAATTGTAATACTTTTAATGTGTCCTTGCTGTGTAAGACTGTTGCTAAATCTGCATCATTTCTTTTAGATCATTAATGGGAAAATAACTGAATATTTTAATATACGATTTGTTAAATAGGGGCCAGGAGAGTGCTGGGATTGTCACGAGTAATGGAGCAAACCCACCAACATACACCACCCTGAAGGTAGCGTAAAAATAACACAGCATTTCGTTGTGTACAACATCTACTGATCACTTAAAACGTGATATCTTCCTCATCCATGAGCCAACACATATCAACATGCAGCAATGAACGCAAGATTAGACTTGCCTGACATAATTGCTTCTCTCTCTCTCTCTCTCTCTCTCTCTCTCACACACAGGGAATGGGCTTAGTGAATACAGCTTTTAAACCAGAGGATTTGCTGAAACTGCGCAATGTTAACCTAGGCATCGGACACACACGTTACTCCACCACAGGCATCTCAGAGCTCCAGAATTGCCAGCCTTTTGTGGTAGACACGCTGCATGGCAAGATTGCAGTGGCACACAATGGAGAACTGGTCAATGCCTCCGCGCTGCGCAAGAAGGTGGGCTTTGATTCACACTTGACTTTGAGCACGCAAAAATTCTTACGACACCGCAATGACGTTACAGATGACGTCACATACTGCGGCGTCTTTTATAAAAAATATTATTCGACAATTTATTCAATTCAAAATGTTAAAATGTAAATCTATTCCACTTGACTGCAATCCTTCAGATTTGAAGTTTAGATTCTTTTAACTCCAGGTCACAACATGACATTAGTTTTTCAAACTTTGGAAAGCAAGAAAATTTGCATGAGCTTGTGTTTCCTGTCTCCCAGATTCACATGCATATGAATGGAAGCCAATGGAACTAAAAGTGTAGTGTGTCCACCCCTTTAGGGATGCAATTTCAGTGGAAGGGTGTTTTTTTTTTCTTTTCTATTTGATACAAGGTGTTTGTGTGATGTAGGTTATGCGCCATGGTGTTGGTCTCTCCACCAGCTCAGACAGTGAACTAATCACCCAGCTCCTTGCTTTGACTCCACCCATGGAGGAGCTTGACACTCCTGACTGGGTTGCTCGGTATGTTACGCAAGTCCACCCTCATCACTGCAACATCTGATTAGGTTACTGTTTGTTAAACCCTGTCTGTCTTGCTAATTGCAAAATTAAGTCATTTTCTCTAGACAATTTTGTTAATGTTTTTTCTGTGTTTGGCAGTATAAAGAACCTGATGACAGAGACACCTACGTCATACTCCCTACTAGTGATGTATAAAGATGTGATCTATGCTGTGAGAGACCCCTATGGAAATAGGCCTCTTTCTATTGGACGTCTAGTGCCCATATCCAAACTGCACAGCTCAGGTGTGTGTGCGGACGAAAAGAGTTATTCTCAGTAAAGGAAAGGGTTGGTGGTGAAGACATCTCTGTATCTGCTCTGAATTTGGGTCGCATATATTATGCATATGGGAATGTAACATGCGCCAACAATCTTCCCATACTCTGAATGAGAAGTGCTTATAAAATGGTTGTTATTAAAGAGTTCATTTTAAGGGACATGAATATTAGTATTAAAATTTTACAGATTTAATACTGTAAGATTTAAAGGACAGATTTATTTAAGTCTTAGTCTGTAAATATATGTACACACTCAACTAAAACAGGTAAAACATGCTACATATGGTAACCAAATTATGAAACCAACATGAACAGATTTAAACTGTAACATATGCAAAGGGATGATTATATATTGTCACAACTATCAGTATAGATATAATGTAATGCTATTTTGGTGTGACTAAGCTCTCATGATTAATAATTATCTGTCAAATTATCAATTATATTTAAATTTATTCATTTTACATTTACATTAGATGTACGTTTACATTAGAATGTATATTTTACATAAACAATCAGTATGCAAAATGTGATTGCTTAGAGGAATAGTAAAATTAGTAAAATAGTAAAAACGAAAATTCTGTCATCATATACTCACCCTCAAGTTGTTTCAAACCTGTATGAATTTCTTTCCTCTGCTAAACACAAAGGAAGATAGTTTGAAGAATGTCGGTAACCAGACAGTTGATGGACCCCATTGACTTCCATAGTATTTTTTTCCTACTATGCAAGTCAATGGGGTCCATCAACTGTCTGGTTACGGACATTCTTCAAAATATCCTCCTTTGTGCTTTTCGTGACCAATTATGAGACGTGTGCATTTATAACTTGGCATGTGGCCTGCTAAACTCGTTTTTTTTTTATTTTCTTTAGGTGCTGGAGAAGCAGACACAGAAGGCTGGGTTGTCTCATCTGAGTCCTGTAGCTTCCAGTCCATTGGAGCAAAGTATGTTCACATCATTCTAAAAGAAGCACTCTGTTTGATTTGATTTCTGCTTTTGGTGTAATTAAAATAGGAGAAAGTGTTTTTTGTTCTTTGGCTTTTGATGATCTATAGAATTTATTTAAAGGGGTTTCCATCCCTAAGCCCACATAGCTACTGTATTTTTATCAATTTGTTTGTGTACAGTTTTCCATTTTTCTGTTGTCAGGTATTATCGTGAAGTACAGCCTGGAGAGATTGTCCAGATCTCTAAAAATGGAGTAAAGACATTGAGTGTTGTCCCACGACCTGAAGGAGACCCTCCTGCTTTCTGCATATTTGAGTATGTTTACTTTGCAAGGCCAGACTCCATATTTGAAGGCAAGTTCATAATGTTTACAGTCGTTCTTATGTTTTGAGTGATAGAATGAGATATAACAGTAATATGTGGTAAAAACTACTGATCAAAAGTTTGGTATCAGAGGACAAATTAAAGGGCAAGTTCACACATTCTCAACCAGCTTTATATTGTTATAATGTCAGAAGTTTATGCAAATGAACAGTGTACTCTTTCTTCATGTTACCTGGACCCAGATCTCCTGGTTTATTTGTAAGCTAAAGTCCACCATATAACAAAAATGCTTTGATAAAACAAAATATTCTACTTGCGCTTTTTTTTTGTGTGGATTGAGCACAGTGCATTATGGGTATTGAAGTTTTTTTTAAATCAAATAAATGCAGCCTTGGTGAGCATAAGAGATTTATTTAAAAAATATCCAAAGAAATCATACCTACTCCAACCTTTTAAGCGGTAGTATATAGTACTAGGTGAAATAAGCACTTTTTTGGTGTAACAGGTCAGATGGTATATACAGTGAGGCAGCGCTGTGGACGGGAGTTGGCCATTGAGTCGCCCACTGATGCTGATGTAGTCAGCACTGTTCCAGAATCAGCCACACCTGCAGCATTAGGATACGCACAGCAAGTGAGTAATGAGGAGCTGTACACGTTTTAATGCTTTATTGGTTCACCCAGGGACAATTTTATACCAGTTTTACATCCTGTCTCTCTATTAGTCTGGCCTTCCGTATGTAGAGGTGCTGTGTAAGAACCGCTACGTGGGCAGAACGTTCATTCAACCGAACACTCGCCTGCGTCAACTTGGAGTGGCCAAGAAGTTTGGGGCATTGACTGACAACTTTTCTGGCAAACGAGTGGTGCTTGTCGATGATTCCATTGTGAGGGGCAACACCATCTCTCCTATTATTAAACTGCTGAAGGAAGCAGGTGCAACAGAGGTACAAATGTTTTTGACTTAGAACTGCATGTTTGCTGCTCTTTTTCTTTTTTTACCGACATAATGTCTTTGTTACATGACACCTTACAGGTCCACATTCGTGTTGCATCACCTCCAATCCGGTTCCCATGCTACATGGGCATCAACATTCCTACCAAAGAGGAGCTAATTGCTAACAAACCAGAGTTTGAAGACATAGCAAGTTATATTGGTAAGTCAGGGTGCAAAGATTTACTAAGGTTTTGTAAACAAGTACACACACTTTCCAATCTCAAATTTCTTTTTTTTTATTATTAATTTATTATGTGCTCTAAATGCTTTGAATAGGTGCTACAAGTGTCCGTTACCTGTCAGTTGAGGGCCTGGTATCTGCTGTTCAACGTGGGATAGAGTCACATGGAAAAGATGAGAGGATCAGCTCAAGCACTAAGACTACTAGATATGGCCACTGCACAGCTTGTCTCACAGGAAAATACCCAGTGGAGCTAGAGTGGTGAACTGTACTTCACATAAATGTTTTTTTTTTGTTTGTTTGTTTTTTGTATAGAAAAGTGCCGCCTTAACATTTGTTGCAGTTGTAAATCTCATTAAAAAGGTAGGCCAATACTGTATTAGAACTAAAATAAAACATTTTCAATTCTCCTCTAAAGGCATTTCTGGTGCTGTCAGATTTCAAACCACTAGTTTGGTTAAGACAGTTAATCAAACACTAACACACACAAAAAACACTAATTTGTAAAAAAAAAAAAAAAAAAACTCACAAAATCCATTCCAATAACCATGTAAGTCAATTAATGTAAGCTTTAGCATTCCTTCTTAAAGAAATGGATTATCCTGCTTCTCTGTTGGTCCTCAAGACAGGCACATAATGAAACTCTGTATATGAAAACCACATATTTGTTTATTAAAAAAATTGAACAAAACATTTGACAATGGACATGTAATTGGACAATATATATATATTTTTTAAAAAAATGCTGTTTTCAATTAAAATTGTTAATGAAACAAGGGTCTTTCAAAGTGATGGGAAGATATTTACACAACAATATAACAAACAGGGTTTACAATATATATATATATTTAAAACAGGACTGTTTAATTTCAAGCAGTGTCTACAATGTGACCATGTCATCCCCTGCTTTCTTCACTAGGGCAAGTGTTGCTTATCCCACAAGGGGAAATGCAGTTTGTGGGATGCGCACAGTAAGGGTCATCACTGCTGAAGTCCATACTGCAGTCGCCTCCTAGAGAGACTGAAGAAAACATTCTTAAATCACTGTTCTCTAATCTTTTTCTCAGAAAACAAAACAAGAAGATCTGCATATTTCAGAAATAACCAAGAAAATGTAAGGGGTGCACAACATTGTTACCATATTGTTATCAGCCAGTACTGAGATTCTTTTAATCTATTTGATGTGTAATTGTACATGCTCATTGCCTTTATTTTTACTCTCAAAGCTATTTTTTTTTAAAAACACTGATAACATAGATGTAATATTTATCAAATTCCTATACATATATATACATTTAAATTGCACATTATAATGTTGTGATCCCTAAATTGATATTATTTCTTGGATGTGATTGTGCTGGAATTACCTTGGAGAGAATGGGGCAGTACCCTGATTAAATAGTCTCATAGGTGACACAGCTGCTGAAGCAAAGTAAAGGGTGATTTAATGAGTGAACAATTTGGGTAATCTATAAGAAAGATAAGGCGGCCATAATGATGTGGAGCAATATAAGACATGAAAATATGGCTACAAACCCTCCACTGGATGGATATCGCTTGGGGCATCTCTCTGCAAAGGAAGTGAAAAAATCAGTTTTACGGCATTAATAAATTGTAAGTATTTTCAGAAATCAATTACAACTGATGTGGCATTCATGAATAATTTCTTATCAAAGTTGATCATTTAATTTGTTATTTGAAATATTAAAATAAATGAAATTTAGAAATGTTGCCTTAAATGCCAACTAACTGCAATAAAGCTAAATAGATGTGACAAGTCTAAAAATAATATTTTAAAAAAAGGTAATTCAAACATAAATGCAATATTAATATGTGTGTGTAAACAAATTATATAAATAATAGTCACACCAATAATGCTCTTACCCAAGACAAAGCACGTTGGTTTATTTGCATTCTTAAATTAGCCTCCCTGATTCTCCTGAGGTTTCCAGTGCCTCTGAGGAACTGCGGACTGGGGCACTGCAGCAGGACGGCTCTATCCCAGGTAAGTTTGTCTTCAGTAGGCTCTGACATGGCAGAGTTCACATATCTGCCTGTCAGCTGGAGATGCTTAAGTGGGGAACGACTCTCTCGGAAGCGTTTGAATCTCAGTGACTCTTCCACCTCGGGCTGCCGCTGCCGTTTCTTGAGCTTGGCCCTCAGAGGTGTCAATGCGAGAGCAGACATGCTGGAGGAGGAAAAGCTGGGGCTTTGGAATGTCTCCTTCGAGTGTCTCTCACAGAGGTGACAGTGGGAGGAAGGGCACGGTGATGAAATCCCACGACAGATGAAGTGGTGATACAGCTTTCTGAACTCAGCATCAATCTGCGTTTCATTGAATGAGTACGTGGACTGAGGGCCAGAAAGAGAGCGTTGGCGTTTGGATGGTGTAAAATGGAACGGTTTCTCCGCCTTACATAAACGTTTGGTACCATAAGGAGATCTGAGGGCCTCAGTATGGGATAGATGGTGGACAGGAGATCTTTGCTTTGGACTTGCTGTTAAGTTGAATTGTTTTTCCATGTTCAACACACTGGGTCTGAAGCTACTTTTCCCCCTAGAAGATAAAACCCCAATGAGACCACGCTGTGGGGAGGAGACAGGAGAGTGTAGGCAGTCCCTGAAGCAGTCTTTGTCCAATGAGGAGGGCTGGGCGATAACTGACATTCCTCTCTGGTCAATAATGGACAGGCCTGCTTTGCTTTGTCGTGGAGAAGTAAAGACACGTGAGGCTGGAACAGCATGAGATGTTGGTACAACATCATAGGTTTGGTCAAGATTTGAAGATTGGTCACTAAATGAGGCTGAAGCGGAATATGGGGGTGTGGAGAAGTCAATCACACGAGCAGTAATCTGCTCTGGCTTCCTGGTTAAATGCAAATCAGTCCATGAAGACTGATCCGTCACACCGCTCACATCTGCACTGTTCCTCTTGGGTGAGTAAAAACAGGCACTGGCCTCATAGGATGAATTTTTGAGAGGTGAAGATTTTAGTTTGTTCTTGAGCAAGTTTTGAAGTTTGTCACTGCCCTTGAAGCAGTTGCTTGTGTTTCTTTGAACTGGACTTTGACTGGTAAATGAGGTATTTGTTGTTTTGTTTAGAGTGCAGTTGTGTCTGTTCCTAAATGATGAGTTGTGGTACGTCGGGCCGGCTTGCCAGTGTTTGCGGCGATACTTCTGCACCACAGCCCTCGCTGTATCGGTCACGTGCTGTCGCCGATATGCTTCGCCGATCTGGTTGAGCATGCTGGGATAGACATCCAAGAGGGTACTGCCATGGCTGCTCAGTGTTTTCTCCAGTTCTTCATCCTCCTCCTTAGGCTGAGACAGCTCGTCCCATTGAGAACTATTAGATGTGTTATTCAGACTCATAGAGAGCTGGAATGATCCACCTCCGTCCCCTAGAAGATAATCATTGAGAAATGATTTTGATATCAGATAAGAACTACTCTTACATTCATATATTGAAGAAATAAATAGTTTAGTTTAACCTGTTAACTTTCTAACGCAGAAATACTAATTGAAATGTTTACTTTGTACTAAATTGCAGGGTCTTAAAAGATATATATTTATTTCTTACACAGGTTTTCGCTGTTCTCCTTTTGACCAGAGCCATTAAGATCATCCTCAGTGACCCCTGACACATCCATCTGAAATAAAAACTTAAAGTTATACTAGTACACCAGACTGCTGGTCTGTGTTCAGATTGTTCAAGCTCCATAAAATGTAGGGGTGTAGTAATACATTCATACGGATTGATGCATTGATCAAATTACTAACAATATTATGTATTGAAATATTATGTAATGACAACTTGTTTTGAGGTACTGGTAAATATTATATTGTTGGAGTGAATCGATTTGTTTTGTGATGAAATGCATGATATACACCCCTAACAAAATGATACACCATTTGGCTATTTTTGAGCTTATATAGAATCTATTTTCTAATTACTACCTGATCATTGTCGTGGTCCTCGAGCTCTATAAAATACAACATGAGGAAACGATTAAACATGAAAATTGAGTATAAATGGCATCATAATCGAAACAGATTTTTGTTTCTGTTTCTTACCCCTGATGGAATAGTCCGCTTTAACTCGAGTCTGAATAATAGAAAAGAAAAGTAATGTTATCCTAATGGAAACATTGTTCAAATCTAGAGACATCTGGGCTAAATAATAATAATAATATTAACTCATATTTACGCTTTTGTTTACTATATCGACTCTTACTTTTAATTTTTCCAGCTCACGTTCTCCCTCTGCACTGTCAATGGGCACCGGACCTGCAGTTATATTTCACAAACTCAGAAACCATTTTGAAAGTTTAGGTAAAAAGACAACAACATTTATGTTTATAAATGTATAATCATCTAGTGAGGAGAAACAACATCAGTTTTTATTTTCTGTATTTTACCTCTTGCAGTCCTGCAGGTCATTGTCTTCAGACAAACGTCTATTCCAGGATCATTTAGATTGGAATACTAGAAAGGACGTAAGTTAATAAGTTTAAGGTAAACGTTGCTTCATGTAAAGTTGCTACAGATGTTATTAATATTTTTTTATACGACATATGCCAATACATGCAACGTTACTTTATCTTACACATTCGTTTGAATGAAACGTTAGTTACCTAACTTACCTTCTGAAAAATAGCTTCCATCGTGTATCTGAACTCATCGTCATTTCTCTTAAATTGGTCTGCATATAAAGGTTTTGCAGACATGTTGCATCAGCTAAATGTATTGCAAACTAAATTTATTTGACCAACATAAACTAGTATTTTGCCCCGCCAGTTGCCAGTCTTTTTCAAATTTCTCGCCGAGTAAAACATCCGAGCAGTGATTGGACGTTATTTCGAGCAACACTAAAACGTCATTTTAAAGCGCGAGTTTGTCAAGTGTCCGAGTCATCTCCACGAATCGGTTCTTTCAAACAGCTCATTTCAAAAAGCACAATTGCGTCAATATTTGATCCTTTACGTCCCGCTATGATAATTTAAAACCTAAATATACGTTTTAATGCATTTACATAAACAATATAAAATTATATTGTCTAAAAACAATCTTTTTTTTTTGTTCAAAGAGAATGATGATCGAGAACCGCTTGGACTGAGGGCGATTGGGGAACGATCCGTTCAGACTTACTAGTTCAACGAGCATTCGACTCAAGAGATTCACGAATTGGTTTTGACTAGTTTGCAAAACAGGAGCTCATATAAACAGAAGGGAATATAATGTAGGTCGCAATTTCTCAAATTATGACTTAACATAAGTTTCGCTCAGATATGACAGAGAAATTCCTTCATGAGTTGGTGCGCGTGGCGGCGCTTGAACATGGCGATAAAACAGCTGTCGCGTTCGACAGCAGCATCGCTGCGGGCGTCTCTTTGACATATGATGAAGTTATGTCCCTCGCAAATGATTTAACTGGACACTTGCGCGTCTCTGTCCAGAAACATGATGGTATCATAGGGTTATTCTGCCATGCTGATGTCCTCATGCCTGTCTGGATTATTGGGTACGATTTATTGTTGTAATAGATAGTGGTCATTCTAGTATCTTATTAATTAAATCATGCTAACAAATGTTTTATAGTTCAATGTAACGTATGTAATTGAAATGTATCCGTCTCTGAACAGTATTCTGCAGTTTCCTGCTGCATATGTACCTCTTGATCCTGCATCACCACCTCTGTGCACCATGAGAATGATGAACAAGTGCAGACTGAACTTCTGCTTGGTGCAAAATGAACTGTTTAATGTGGGTTTATTATTGTGTCATATTATATTAGTTATATTATAAATAATGATATATTGTTTTTTATTAATGGTAAGTTTTGTTACCAACAGCAATTCCAGAGTGCATTTTCCAGTCTGCTTTCCTTGGAAATATGTGCAACATTGTCCTCACAAAGGCTCACTTTAATAAAAATACAAAGTGAGCAGGACGCAAACATTCACATATCCGATCAGCCTACCAGCTCTTCTATGACCAAAGACATCCAGCAGAGGGAGGCTTTGGCTTATGTTTTGCACACATCTGGAACGACAGGGCTTCCAAAAATAGTGAAGGTCCCACACAGGTGTATAATGCCTAATATTATACATCTGCGGTAAGAACAATTTGGATTTTTGTTTAAAATCTGCCTTTATAGTAGATTGTTACCTGAATGTGGTCAGTGTGGTTGTAATATGTTCACTTGTTTACCTGTCAGCTATAGCAAAAATATACTGAAAATTAGAATATAATTTGTATAAAATTAAATAAAAGTTTTGAACTATAGGTGTTTGAAACCAATATGCAAAACCAGTGCTTAGAGCAAACACACATTTGTGCAATTGGAGTTTGGACTAAACTGAGATAGCCTTTGTTACAATTAGCCCAAGTGTTCATAAAAGGTTGTTAGATAATGGATGGTTTATATACTTTTTCTATAGATCGGTCTTTAAGATGAGTGCAGAAGATGTTGTGTTCCTGTCCTCCCCGTTAACCTTTGACCCCTCTGTGGTGGAGATATTTTTGGCCCTGTCTACCGGAGCATGTCTCTTAATTGTCCCCTCTGCTGTTAAAAAGATGCCACGCAGACTTGCTCATGTGCTTTTTAAACGAAACACAACAACAGTCTTACAGGCAAGTGACTTATTCCTCACTTAGCTATCAGTCATCAGAGTTCTGTGTTTGACAGCCTTTAATTAGAGATTTTAATTATCAAATCACTTCATCTCTCCATTTATCTTCTCATGAGTCATGAATGTGCATATTCTGTGAGGTTGAGAAGATGTTCCTGAAATAGACATTGGTAGTGGAAGTAGTCAGCTGAAATTTGTGCATTATGCAGATTATAGAGATAATGAGTGCGTTCTTTTGACATCTGCTCATTTATTTTCATTCCCCAATAATTTGTTTTCAGTCATTTTTTATAATTTTTTGCATCCCTCAAAATAATTTTAATTTACACTCCATTACTTAAAGGGTCTCAGTTGTTTTTTTACTCATAAAATAGTTTTTATTATGTAAACACAAACTTTTATTTTGGATGCGATTAATCGTTTGACAGCCGTGACACTTGAATATACATGCTATGATAGAAAAGATTATTGAAACTTTGGTTACATGTTGACTTTAAGTGTTTAATGTATTGGGTCTCCTTATGGATGTGGCCATGTTGAAATCACATGACTTCCAATACTACTCACTTTATTTTGGTAACACCTTTGTTTGTTATTGCACAATTTAAGTAGTAGAATAAATGAATCATGGCTGACTATGAATAACTTTTTTTATATATACTAGCATTATTAGAAACAAAAAACGTTTATGCCATACTGCTTCCATACCACTAGGTGTCATTTTAAGTCTAAGTTGACATGGACAACATATAGTACTGTTTAATACTAACGTAATATAATTGATTTTACTCATTTTTCAGGCTACTCCCACTCTTGTGAGGCGCTTTGGAAGGCGTGTCCTTCAGGAGGAGGTGCTTAGTACAAATTCATCCCTGAGGATATTGGCTTTTGGGGGAGAGCCATTTCCATCTCTAAATCTTCTCAAAAGCTGGAGGCAGGCAGGCAATGGCACACACATCTGTAATCTTTACGGCACTACAGAAGTTTCTTGCTGGGCAAGTTGGTACAAAGTCCCAGGCGAACACCTGTGCTTGGAGAACACGTGAGTGCCACAAAGCCTTCAGCCATACAGTGATAATGCTAAACTGGAGCTAGCAATGCATGTTCTACACAGTGTCTACACTAAATATATTGCACCAACACTTTTAATTAAATAATTTAGGAAGTCTGATTATAAAAACTATAGCGATCTTTTTTAACTTTTTTTTTTTTTTTGATAATATGTAAAGCAAAACAGGGTTATTATCATAAACTTAAACTAAAAACAATTTTGTTCTTTGAAATAAAGTTGAAGTGTATACATTAGATGGAAAACTTAAACTAAACGAGGATTAAAAATGTTACCTTGCCTTGAAGCCTTAAAATGACTAACTTAATATTAATAAAAATGTAAAATGACTAACTTAATGTTATAAAAATGACAAAAGCACATAATAAAATATATAATACTATAATAGTATATAAATAATACAAAAATGACACTGTAGTAAATCAGCCACAAAAAAGTAATATTGACAGTCTATAGAGAATGTTTTCAAATTCAACTGCTTTATCTTTAAGTTATGCAATAGTAAATATTATTAGTATTAAAACATTTTTTGTGATGCATTGTCTGTTTACATTCTGAATCATGTTTTATTTGACAGAACTGATCTATCTGTGCCTCTTGGAGAACCGATGTTGGATACCATAATGGAGGTCAGAGATGAAACAGGACGTCTCGTCACCGAAGGAGATGGACATTTATTCATTGGTATGATAGTTATTTAAACATGCTTTCTACTATTAAAATCTTTGGGGTTGGTAAGATTTTAAAACATGTTTTTGAAAAGAACGTTTCTTTAATGTTTCATTCTTTAAAAAGAATGTTTTTGAAAGAAGTTTCTTTTGCTCACCAAGGCTGAATTATTTATTTTTTGAATACAATAAATATTATTTTTCATGTTTTAATATATTTTCAAATGTAATTTATTCACGTGAAAAGCTGCAAAAGCTGAATTTTCAAGTTTTCAGTGTCACATGATCCTTCAGAAATCCTTCCAATGTTGATTTAGTGCTTATTACTATCAATGTTGAAAACAGTCATGCTGTTTATTTATATATGTATTTTTGTTACATTTTTTCAGGATTCTTTGGTGAGTAGGGCATTCAAAAGAACATTTATTTGCAATAGTTTATTTTTTTAACTATGAATATATTATTGTCAGTCTAATCAATTTAATGCATCCTTGCTCAATAAAACTATTAAATATTACTGACCCTGAATGGTAGTGTACATTCTTTCACATTCATATGAGTTGTTTTTGTATTTGTAAAGTGAAATTTGGTTTCTTTTATTTAGGTGGTCAGGAGAGGGTGTGTCTTCTTGATGATGAAGAAACTGTAGTCAAGGGAACAATGCGTGCTACTGGTGACTGGGTGCTTGTGCGCGATTCCCGTCTGTATTTCCAGGGCAGGAAGGATCGGCTCGTCAAACGGTTTGGTCAGCGGGTACACCTAGATGCCTTGCAGCAGGTAGGCTCTGTGTGACCCATGTGTCATGTTACGACTTTAACATCTATATAACATCTACATATAACATTTTATATCATGAATGTATTTCTTTCTGTACTTAGGTCATTGAGAATTTGCCTGAAGTAGAGGCGTGTGCAGTGACCCTGAGTGAGAGTGACAGGCTGGTGGCATTTATAGTGCTCGCATCGGGTCAATCAGGCACCCCTTCATCCTTCTCTTTGGAAATTCATCATGAAGAAACTTTCCAACATTCTACACAATCCTCTGAAGACCTCACTGCTGAAGAAGTATCTAGAAATGCCACCCCCCTCTCGCTGAGAGTTATTGAAGGAGAGATTCGCCATAGGTTATCACAGCTTTTGGCCGCTCACAGCATTCCTGACTTGATATTATTCATCCCTGCTCTTCCACTCACCTCTCATGGCAAGTGAGCACTATCCTCTAAGGCAGGGTTTCCCACAGGCTTTCATGGGAGGGACTCCTGGCTGCACGAAAATAATATATTTTTTTAATGATTATTTTTATAAATATGAGATTATCACAGTGACATCTGCATTTTATTACTGAACTCACGCCGTACATTTTCAGGAATCACAGCTGTATTTTTGGCAAAAATCCTGTGTGTCATCGCCATCTTTGATATTACTTAGTCACTGTCACTATAGTTGCAGTTGATCGATCCCATTGATCTATTCGAGAAGTTATGCGGTGGTGTCACCATATGAACGTATCCAGAGACTATTTGACGGATCTCGACTCTTACATTTTCAAAACTGGCCTTGATCTGTAGAGCGTGGCATTCACAAAAAATTTAATTGGAAATTTCAGCAAGAAAAACCAGGAATAAAAGTTATGCCAGATGAATTTATTCATAGTAGAGCACATATTGAAATGTCTATATTGACTAATGACCTGTCTATATTGACTAATGACCTAGTGACATTTTTATTCAGGGTCGGGGGGGGGTCTACTGTATTCATATAGCCCAGGGGCCTCTTGTTGTCTAGACCCCATGACCTAAATTATGTACTTGAAGTAGCCCCTGATAAATTGACGTTATTACCAATCCAAAATAGAATTTAAATTAAATTGAAATGCTCATTATTATTAGACATATATCTAAAATTAAAAAACTGAAATGTTCAGTAAATGAAATTACATTTAGTAAAATATGTAATTATATTTAAAAGTATATTTATATAAGTCTTACCAACACACACACAAATCTGCTATTAAAAGCTTAAACATCACAATCACTTAGCATATCTATGTAATCAGATGTGAACATGTTTTTTCATTGTGGTCATTGTTTTCATAGTCACTTTTACATTCCTGTTGTTTTAGGTAAAATAGCCATAGACGAGTTGATGAGAATGTGTGACACTCAAAGACAAGACATAAATAAACAAACTGTATGGAAAGACAATGAATCTTTGAGACTGACGTTACAGACCCTGTGGAAGGTATGAAAAATATTTACTCTAATATTCTATTTATTTTGCACAAAAAGTACTAGTTCTAATTCTTTGACACATTGAGGTATTTCTTGAACATCTTTTCCATTGCCTGCTGAGTGAATCTGCTTTTGTGTTTTTGTCCGTGTGTATTAGGAGTGTCTTGGCCTGCCGAATGACGTGGTGGTTGAGGAAGATGCTCACTTCATGTTAAGTGGAGGAGACTCCCTTCAGGCCCTGCGTCTCTGTGATGAGATCACTGTTGCCATGGGGACAACCTCTGTGGGCCTGCTAGAGGTCATATTAGATGGCTCTTTCTCAGATGTGCTTAGCCACGTCATGACAGAAACACATATTGCAATCCAACCATCAAAGAAAAGAATTCTCGATTATTCAGACTCTGTAGTTTCATCCAAAAGACAACTAAAGAAAATGGCCACCGTGAATGCTATGGAAAGCGCAGTGGGTTCTGTAGTTCCCTCAGTGAAGAGGACTATGGGATTTGTAGTTGTAAGACGAGCTGGTGAAATTATCCATTGCGGTTGTTTTCAGAAAATGCGAGAGGGAAACTTCTCAGATGAAAGCAAACTTACTGTGACAAATACTTCTGAAGACAGTCACTTGGGGTTTTTATCCAATTCGTCACATGAAAGTTATAAGACGTGTGAGAAAAATTCTGCTATTAAAAAGGTCACAGAGCACCATGAAGTTACTGAGTCGTTGCCCGTCTCTGAGAGCGCAGTTTCAGGTGAGGGTTCTAGAAAAGACTCTTTAGACGTCCTGCCGCTTGGCCTGCGAATTCTCTGGAGCTCAGACACCGGCAGATGTGTGGACGCCTCTCCAGTGCTGCTGCTGGGTCCTGATAAGACTACTGTGTTCATTGGCTCTCACTCGCACCGACTGCAGGCTCTTGACCTGTTCAACGGAGAGGTCATTTGGGAGCGTATCCTTGGAGATCGGTTAGAGTCTTCTGCTGCCGTCTCAAAATGTGGAAGCCTTGTAGCAGTAGGTTTGTACTTGAATGTTTAATTGAATTAAAATAACATTGTTGTTACTACTTTAGCTTGAATATGGAGTTTTGTTTTTTTTCTATTTTCTAAAAGTAGAGCTTACAGATTTCAGGGTTAAATTTATAAATCAGTTTATTTTGTCATCCTCATTTTTAACTTGTGTTTAATGCTTTTTCACAGGCTGCTATGACAGACAAGTGTATTTCCTGGATGTTTCCTGTGGGGAAACAGTGTGGACATTTGAGACGGGGGATGTGGTGAAAAGTTCCCCTACTGTAGACCCTAAAACTGGGCTGATTTTCGCAGGGTCACATGATGGCTATATTTATGCATTAGACCCACTGGTAATACTTCTTAGTTTTGTTTATTTGTATTTCTGTAGTGCTGAACAGTGTTATGTTTGTATTATTCAGATTTATTTGTCTTATATTACTATATTTTTAGTTACATTTATACTATTACTATTAAAATATTTATTTTTATATTTAGTATTATATTTATTTAAATGTTTTTTAATATATTTTAGTTTTAATATTTTTGTAATTAGCTTTTGTCATTTTTTAGTTTAGTAACTTAATTTATTTTAGTCTAATTTAAAAAAAAATTGAAAGGTTATGTTTTCCATCTAATATTTATATTTCATGTCAGTTTTTTAATAGTTAAAATAATTTTTAATAATTTTAGCTTTAGTCAACAATTAACAACACTGGGACTAAAACTAAATATATATTATATTATCTGTACTTTATTTTTATGTGTTCTTGCAGATTCTGGATGTCCCCTGTATGTTTCACACACTTGTCTCTATTTCTCCCAGGCTAAGACTTGTAAATGGCAGCACTATTGTGGTGGCGGTGCGGTGTTTTCATCCCCTTGTGTCCACTTGTCTCCTAGACACTTATACTGTTGTACTCTGGGTGGGAATCTCCACTGTCTTAATCCAGTAAGTAAATGTTCCTTCTTCACTGGAGTACATGCACAAAAAGCCATACTAGTGTTGATGTTTGGAAGTGTATTAGCCATTTCTCTGATACAAAAGATCTTGGGAATGAAGTAGGGATCAGAGGTCATCTTTGAAAGCTAACGTTTATCTTGTAATTCTCCATTTATTGTCTTGCCAGGACAGTGGAAAGGTCTTGTGGACGTATTCCGGCACTGTCCCGTTTTTCTCATCTCCTCACTGCTCTGATTCCTCTGTCTTCATTGGTTCAGTAAATGGCCATATTATTGGAATAAGCCATTTTGGAGATACGGTGAGAGGAAAAAGGAAAAGTTGCCCCAAGAAAGGATAAACTGAATTTATGTGACTTTAACCATGATTTGAAATCTTATTTTTCAAATTATGGTCATTACCACCACTGGAGCAGTGCACTTAAAAAACAACAATGCTCTTTTATTCTATTATGTATATTTGCACTCGTTTTTTCAAAACCCAGTAATGTTTGTAGTAATATTTTTTTACTTCACAGATTTCATCCAGTAGACTTTAATTGCAGTGTAGAGAAGATTGCATTCTGTGCACCAGTTTGATTTTGTTCCATTATTTTGCAGTTATGGGACTTCTCCACTAAAGGACCAATCTTCTCATCGCCATGCATTTCTTCCTTGACATTTTTGACTAATCAGACAATTTCTACAACACCCAGCAGGAGCACATCACCATCACCCAATCACACAGTCACATGTGGGTCACATGACGGTCATGTATACTGTTTAAATGGCAATGATGGATCATTATTGTGGCAGTTTCAGACCACAGGCAAGGTGTTCTCTACTCCATTTGTATTTGACGGCACTCCGTGGGGTTTGAGATCACTAGCTGCCGTGTGCTCCACTGATGGAAAGGTGTGGGTTCTAGATGGAGAAACCGGCACATTGATGGCAACCTTGTCTTTGCCAGGTGAACTTTTCTCCTCTCCTGTCGTCTGGGGGCATAACTTGGTTGTTGGATGTCGTAATGATTACGTTTATTGTCTAGAACTGACCAAAAGGTGATTAATCATAATAATCCAAGTCCAGTTGTATACATTTAAAAAATTTTTGGGTGACTCCCAAAAGTGCTCATTAGGAAAAAATTATATGGTTTTAATCTGTATGCATTGTGTGTATATATATATATACATATATACAAAATACATACATGTTTCAGTTTGTTTTTGTGCAAGAACAGGAATTTTAGTCTGCCGAGTTCAAACAGCTTTCTTTTATTTTCTCTACATATTTCATAACATTTGCGTCACCTTTTCTTTAATGGATTTTTCTAAAGTGAACAAAATAAGTGCAATATCAACAAACCTTTTGTTTCATATCACATACAACACTGTTTGCGCTATGCTATTGCACACGACCAATGTAAAAACAAAGTGACGTGACTGCAGTTCAGGAGATCTCCAAAATCAATACAGTCCGTTTCATTTCACCTCTATACATACATACATACCTACATACATACATTACATTAGATAGTGGAGTCAATGGCTCTGCTGAGAGATCAAGGTTTCCATTTAATATCTTCCATCCTTTAGCAAACGCTTTCTATCCAGAACGACTTACAGTTCACCTACAAGGACAATCCCCCCTGGAGTGATCTGGGGTTAGCTGCCTTATTCAAGGACGTAGAGGTGATGCCAGTATAGTCTGTATAGTCCGTTCACTCACTGAAAATGTTCCCTTTTTTCTGTTAGGGGCAATTTCATTGGCTTAGACCTCTTTTCTAAATCCCCCCTTGGACATTGCATTTGAAACACCGATCTCCCATCACTTAGTTGTGTCGTGGGTTTTGTTAATTAGCTGTAAAAGTGATGCTAGCACACGCTACGCAAGGATAGCATTGTTATGATACAGCAAGCAGGCAGTTCTACAGAAACAGACGGGTATGGACACTGCAAGAAGTAGATTTTTTCATCAACTGACAGCATGGCTCAAGTGCATATATCCTATATTGTCATTGAAACTTGAAGGAAAAATTCAATGTTAGTTAATAACATGAGTAAACAGTGCTGACGTGTCATTATAATAATAATTTTTAAGCAATAGTTAAAATGACAATACTCACAGTTGTCACGGACACAGTGAAGATCTTTTTACTTTGCCAAGATATCAAATATAATAAGTTAAGAAATAAAAAAATGACCACGTTTGTCCAACGACAATGTCTATGGGTGCCAACTCAATTTAGTGTACATAGAAAAAAAATCCCACCAAATTACAAAACAGTTTCTCCGCTTTACATGCTTGTAGGTGGGAGGAGAGATTTCTGATGGTTTCAACCACTGTTATTGTTAGCCCTTGAAATACTTCCCAAAATTGTCACCAAAGTAATAACTGTCTTGACTTATTTGAAATGTTACATTTATACTGAATGTGAACCGCTTATTTTGTTTTAGTAATATTTAGTATCAACAGTTTGACATGCATTGTAGACAGTTAACAGGACCACTGGCGACTACAAAGATATAAAGGGCTGCAACTTCTTGATGAAGATTCTAGGGCTTGTTTGATTGGCTGCAACACAAAATTAAATAAACATACCGTTGGTGGATGTTATTGCAATAATCCTATTTTGAAAACCCATTTGGGTTGGCATTGATGTCTGTATCTGTGTCCAGTCCGAATATTAGTACAATATTTTGTCTTTGTTGTAAAAAAAAAAAAGTTAAACTTAAAAAAACAATTATTCGTAAATGTCTGATTGCTTATTATGGACTTTTCATTCAGAGCCAGATGTGAGCTGGAGTGCAGTGATGGTTGACTGATGTGGATGAAGGAGAAAAGACTTGTTTTCTTTTTCACTGGGTCAGTAGTAATGTATCACTTGATGATCTGTGGGCAGTCGCTCCAGGCTTTGGCCTTACGCTTGGCTAGGGCAAGCCAGGCTGGCTCGGTAGAAACCTGGGTAGTGTCACCAGGAGGTAAGCGCTTGGTCACATCCTTTGTTGCTGGCGGAGATGGTGTTGAGTCTGTTATTTCCACTTTTAAAAAGAATGAAAAAAAATATGGTTCAGCTGTGATTTCCAAATTGTTTGCTTTTGCTTTCATTGTTTACAAGTGGATGCATTTTTGTGGTTCTATGTCTTAGTTTTAAAAGCAATGAACCATGTCTAAATCCCTCTCCAATTCATACTTTTTTTGTCAGTTGCAATTCAGCTAGGGGTATGTATATGTAATAAATAAATAAACTGAGCATAAGACCCAAAGTTACTAAAATTAACCCCAGTATAAAGCTTCTGACAGGAAATAATCAATTTTCAAATGTTTTGGTTTTTTACCTGTGACTGAACTGGGCAAGGTATTGGCTTTCTTCAAGTTGTCGCGTCGTTCAAAACGGGCCAGGAGTGTGTCTGGTCTTTTATTCTCATCTGCTGTTTGAGGTTTGGGCGGGCTGGAACTTCCATTACCTTTATCTTCTGTGGGACTGACCATTTCAGCCTTTCAGAGACAAATAACACCGATTGCTATTAATACAGAGAAGTTTATTTAGTAACATAATATCATGCCTAAACCAGGTGCAAGTGGTTTGGGCGACAAATTTACAACAAGCAAAACTCTCAGCCAATCAGAAGATTGTACTGTGATATTGTTATATTGTACAGTTATATGCAGTAGGATTTTGGAGTGCTACCCAACACAATATCACAAAAATAGAATCCAAGCGATCAACAAATTATCATTTGTCATGGCTGGTAAGATTTATGTGAAAGGTTTATTGATTGTTGCATTATTACATTGCATCTGGTTAATAGACTGTTGGTACAACTTTACTTATAGTACCAGCGGAGTAGCTAGTTATTATGATAATAGACTCTATGGCTATATTTATGATGTATACATACGCTTTCTTTGTCCCTAGCTTGTTTCTCAGCCAGCTTAGCCTCTCTCTGGCTTCTCCTGTCCTCGCGGTTTTGTTGCTGTTCTCTGAAGCCTTTCTGTTTTTGCAGTGCCAGGGTGATCCAAAGTGGTCCTGCCTCTTTCTCCTGTGTCCGTGAGCTGTCCAGAGAGTGCCTAGCCTGCAGAGAGGGTTTTTCTGTGAAGGAGAATAAATGCACGAGTCAAATTGACAGGTGAGACTAGAACCCACTTTAGAGTCTTCTACACATCTGTTGTACTCTTTCCCAGGAGAGTGAATATCTTAATTTTCTTAAGGAAATACCAATACTCATAAGGTATGACAAGAATATTGCTAAATATATAATAATCACAATTTAGAATGCAGATATTATGACTCCAAATGTTATAATGAAAAGCGCAGCGATTCAGATTGAATTAACTGTAAAAAGTTGAATATAGAAGTTTAAGAAATATCAATACAGTGCTGCTTTGCAAGCATTGTAATGAGGTGAAGATAACACAGTTTTGGCGCTACAAGGAATTCCAACCTTTTTTAATGAGTTCTGTCCTGCGATCTGTTTTTTCTCTCCATGGGATGCTGATGGATGGAAAAAATGACTTCTTTTCTTTAAACTCCTCTCCTTGTCCATTTTTCTGGGATTGAGCAGATACTGCAACTTCTTTATGGTCACTGCTCTTCTCTGTAGCTATCTGTTCTGTTTCCCCTGTCCTTTGTGAAATAATGTCTCCTGAAGTCCTTCTGCCAGGCTTTGGGAGAGGAGAGGGTGGAGGAGTGGCACCTTCAGATGGTTTAGGGGAAGTAGCTGGTTTTTGGTAAAGTGGAAGTTTGGGGGCAAAGTTATCACCTTCAGTATGTACCAAAGGGAGAGTACTTTTGCTAAACTTGCTTCGAAATTCTTTATTGGATGCTACAGAGGTACGAAATTCAACAATCTCTTGTTGTGGAGAAACAGGGCTAGACCTTTCCAAGACTGTAGAAGTATCAGGGTCTTGGTCAATGGAGGTGAGGGGCACTGGGACACCTTCAAAACTGTCTCCAGCACTGTACCTTTTCTTTCTCTTCTCTGCTGATTGTTCATTGTGAAAGCGAAGAGAGTAGTTGGTTCTTCTCAGTTTAATTCCAAACGGTGAGGGCTGCTCATCACCACCCTGATCCTTCTGATCACCTTCATTCTTTGTGTCTGAATCTTCTGATTCTGCCTGACTTGGGGAGCCAGTCTCGGATCTCTGCGACTTGGGAGATCCATGTGGCGGACTGGGAACGAGAAAGGAGGGGAGGTCTTTGGCAAACATGCATTCTTCAGCACTATCTGCGATGCGAACAACCTTGCTTCCCCTGCTCTGGATCTTGGTACCTAAAGACAGCAACTCTACTTTTTGGACGAAGGGAGTTTCCATAGATGCCGATTCTACTTTCACATCTTCATCCTGACCAAAAAACTCTGAGTTCCTGTTGGAATCAGGAAATTTCTTCCTGGCTGGTGTGATGGAAAACTTAGCACTCGCTGACATGGTTTTCCTGAGGTTGGTGTGAGAAAATGGCACTGTATTTAGATCCTCACTTATCGGCCTGCGACTCTGATCCGGGTATTCGGGATATTTTCCCTCTTCAGCACCTTTAAAAATTTTGGATCGGATAGTTGCCCATTCTGCCAGGACGGCAGCGTTGGATTGGTCTGCAGATAGGGAAGACTCATAAAAGGATTTGGTTTTCTAGATTTATCGTCTGGAGATGTCTTGATCTTGGTTGGATGAGTGCCCATGGCTTTTTTGCCCTCCGAAAGGCCAAGAAGTGACTTGCAGGCTGTGTCCTTGATTTGATCGAGATTGACTGCAGTTCCACAAAGTTGGGCTCCTGTCACAAGAATTGCAGTATGTGGGACGTAAAGAGATGAAGACCGAGTTGGTGAATCTGTGCATCCTGGTGAAGAAGCTTTTGCTCCCTCCTTGGTTTCAGCGATTGTTTCGCCCTGTTGGCCAGTTGTTGGAGTAACCGGAGTGAGGTTAACCTTCTGGAAGAGTATCTGCTTCTCGCCTGAGGAGACCTTGAAAGTGAAGGGTCTCTGTCTCTCCTCCATCTCTCTCCATCTCAGTTCCTCTGCTTTTCTTTTCCATTCTGGGTCAGAAGCTCCAGCTGTCTCTTCTGGCTGTTGACTCTTTTTTTCCTCCTCTTCCTGTAGTCTTTTCCTCTCAGCCTCCTCATGGACACGTTCCTCTTCCTCTCTCTTCCGTTTCTCCTCTAACTCCTGAATCCTTCGCTGTTCTGCCTCTTCCTCTTTTCTTCTCCTCTCCTCCTGCTCTCTTTTTCTTTCCTCTTCTATACGGAGACGCTCCACCTCAAGTTCCTGCTGCCGTCTCTCTTCTGCTCTTCTTTCCTCTTCCTCTTTCTGCATTCTTTTCTCTTCCTCTTGCCTCTTTCGCTCTTCTTCAATTCTTAATCTTTGCTCTTCCTCTTCTCTCCTCCTATCTTCCTCTTCCCTTTTTTTCCTCTCATCTTCTTCTCGCTGCTTCCTCTCCTCTTCCTCTCTTTGCAGTCTTTCCTCTTCCTCTCTACGCCACTTTTCTTCTTCTAGCCTCTGCTCCTCGATTCTCCTTTGTTGTTCCTCCATCTTTCTTTCTTCCTCTTGTTCCCTCTTCTGAAGCTCAAGGCGTTCTAACTCCTCCTCATGAAACTGCCGCCTCACCGATTTCTCAGTAGGTTCATAATCTCCTTCGCTGCTATGGATAATGTTATACTCCTCTCTTGACAAATCAAACACTTCTTCGTCTTTTTGTGTTTCATATTCCTCTTGCATTTCAGAGAGATCCTCCTCGTGAAACTCCTGAAATATATTTAAAGTTGCAGAAATTAATGTTGTGGAGTTATTTTCTCATAAGCAATGGTTCACCACCCAGATATTAAAATTTAGTCATGATTTAATCCTCCTCATCTCATTCCAAACCCGTATGACTTACTTTCGTCTGCAGACTACAAAGTAAAATATTTTGGAAAATGTCTGTTTTGTTTGGTTTTTTTTGGGCCCCATTGACTGCACAAATACAGTTAAAATATTCTTCAAAATACCATTTGTGTTTCACAGAAGAAAAAGTCATATGTTTGTAACAACATGAGGGTGAGTAAATTATGGGTAAATTATCCTTTTCATTTTGGGTAAACTTTCTATTCCCTTTTAAATTAAAGATATCCTAATAGAAGCTGTTCACATTTTGAAGAACACCTTTCCCTTTACCTGTGTAAACCTTCTGTGTTTGCGAGATACCCTCTGGTTCTTCGGTTTGACAGAGAGTTTGTGTTTGGCAGCAGTATTGTCCAAGCGTGGGACAGACTGAGGGACAGCATCTAGATTGATGGACTCAATTGTGCCAGGGGGAGGTGGGCGCTTAGAGCGTGGGGATTTGACTGGAGTTCTGTGCTGGACCTTGTCATGGCTGACAGCCTAATTGTAAAGCAAAAACACAAACAATCTTGAGTTTGTGACTATGGGAGAGCAGGGTTTTTGAAGCATGTTATATGTCTATGGAATCAATAGCCGCTTTTCCACCGTCCAACCTAACCGTTCTCATTGGTTACATTGTATGAGATGTAAATAGCGACCACGTTATGGGGGACGATCAAATATTTCTTTTAATTTGATCATTAACTTCTGTTTACTTCTCTCAAATAGCACACTTGCACAGCTGCAGTGAAACTGGTAGCCAGGTAACAGACAAGAGACCAATTACACACATTATACGAGCATGTTTAGCCATCCGTGCTGAAAATTCCAGGCCGAGAACAGATTGTAATAGTGCTATGGCGAACCAAGTTCAATTGGAAATATAACTTGAACTGTTCCTTACCGTTCCTAGAACGTTCGGCCCAGCGGTGGAAAAGTGGCTAATGTATTGATAGTCTCATGATATTATAATTTTCTGCAACTTAACTAGAGCATGGCATTAGCAACAGCAAGTTACTGATAAAGTGTAAACCATGAATGATTTCAATAATAGTGCCTTCCAAGTGCATAAATGTTTATTTGGCAAGTGAGGGAATCTTTCTTAAACTTTACTTGCTAAAACAGAGCAGTGATCTTTAACTTCGCTTTCTAGTATATAAAGTGTGACTGACGTAGCAATACTATGTTACAATATGTAAGTAGTGGAAAAATAATTTGGAGATTAGCTTACTATTTCCTTGGCTTCAGTCTCCTGTGGTTCATTCTCCACCTGAGCAAGAACCCTCAACGGACTTTGTGGTACCTCTTCCTCATCCGAGCTACCTTCATCTCCCTCACTCTTTCTAAGTGATGGGGGTCTCTGACCAAATTTGATATTATGTCCAATTTGCTTCTGCCAACAAAAGCATAGAGAGTAAAAGAATGGATAAATGTTGTTTAGCCCTAAACATTTAGTCCTAAATTTACCAGCATTTATTGACCTTGATGGTAGCAAAAATATCTAAAATAAAAAAAATTCAATCTGGTAATATCAAAATTAGTGTTAGCAAAGTCTGGTGCATGGCTTGACTGTGTCCATATGTCCATTTTTAAGAGTTTCACCTGAATGTTCTTGACTTTGTCTGAAACGTTTTCCTGGGACATTGTCTGTCCTGGATGGGTCTTATCTGACTCCTCAGGGATAAATACACTCTCATGTGAAAAAGCTCGGGACCCTAGGGTGTTTAACTCCCTGTGAATGCAGATATAAACACTTTTTAAATACAGCACATCTGTGAATGTTTTCAATACACAATTCAACAAATAAACAACTTTGACAGCATAAAAATAAAATACGATGAATTCCAGACCCAGCTATAAGAGGATTACCTTAGATACTGATTGTTCTCTTCATTAACTGTGGCCACCCCATTGCAGACATTATCAGTGGAATGGCTGGGTTTAAGTTCAGATCCCTCAAACCCACGTTCTGCTTCCCTTTTTTTTTTTACCAAATAGGCGCCTGAATGGCTGGAGTTTGCCCTGCCGTCGCCGCTCTGGTAAAAAAAAGTGGGGGCAAACAATGGTGATACATAGTCAACAAATTGTAAAAGGCTAGTGCTAGTGCTGTCCATATTTAAAAATAAGCATGCAGTATTTTTTTCAGTAGGCACAGTAGATGTATATTATATGAATATTTTTAATTAATGTTAATGAAATGGAGGACCAGAACAGATCAGACGCTATCAGGTTATATCGTGTGAAAGTCCTTGTCCTGGGTCAGTCTTGTATGGTTATGGTGACCAGATGTTCCATTTAAACATAAGTTTGAGAAGAGAGAGGAGTCGTGATGGGCTTTACTTAAAACTCTTTGGGAGTATTTACTGAAGGAAAAATCCCTCCAAGATACATTTAAGATTGATACCAATCCAGCCAATCAAATGCATACAAAATGCAAGTTCATCAAGTGTAAATTTCATCAGGTTGTTCAAGCTATGTTCTGTATGTAGACATTACTCTTGAAAATGTTTTTTTGCGCCAGGATGAGCCCCATAATCCACATGGGGCTAGCAATCATGGATGAGACATATGGATGTAGCAACTGCAAAACTTTTTACCTAAATAGAGGACTCAAATAATCCTTTAGACTACAAGAACACTGAGCATCACATATTATGCAGATTTTGAATCAGTTCAGGAGTGGTATTACAGGTGGATGTTTCTCCCAATCTATCTAAACATCACAGCTCACTTGTTTGGTAAGGCACTATTCTTTTTAAAGCTTCTTGTGTTGTGAAAAGTGCTATAGCTACAAATAATTAAAACTCAACTGGATTTGTAGCTTATATTTAATGCTAATGTTTTCCATCCATTACTTATCTTGACAACATACTAATTGAGAATTAAATCTGAGCTTCATTACCAACAATCAAGCCCAAAAGTACAAACAACTAAATTCTAACGTACAAAAACAATCTTTAGAGAATAATTTACAAAATAATTCGCAACCTACCAAATATGGAAATCTGCAGGTGGAAAGTGTCTCTGACTGACTGAATCATACAGTCCCCATGTAATGACATTAAACCAATGATAAGACAAAGGACCTTTGGTTTGTATGGAGTGCCCTGCAGACGCACCATTTCCTGAGACTAGAAAGTTATTAGGAATCATAAACACTACGGAGATAAGACGAGCTCAAAAAGCACTGTTTATGAATAAAATTACATATAAAGTAAAATATTATTTCTGTTTAATAGTTTCTGTTTAATCATGATGATTTCTTTTCATGATAGAAGTCCCTTATGCTCACCGAGGCAGGATTTATATGATCGAAAATGCAGCAAAAACAGTAATATTGAGAAATATTATTTAAATTTTAAAATGTAATTTAATGAATCCCTTTTGAATAAAAGTATTAATTTCTTTCAAAAAGGTATAAAAGCCGTCTTTCTGAAGGTATAAAAGCCACAATAGCAAGAGCAGAACACATCCAGGCCGTCTTTTCTGTTTCTAAGGCTCATCAGTGTGCGACTGTATCTCTGTGTTGTAGGAGCACCAAGTGAAATGGCTGGAGTGACAGGGCCACTCTACACCACAGAGTAGATCAGTGTGGATCTGTTACAGGCTAAAATTGGAAAGTAGTGTGGAGTTACACATTAAGTGTGTTGCTGCTCAAAACACAATGGCACAATAACAAAGTATAAGACGTTTGGTACCTGCTGTCAGTGGCCGCTTCTCTTGTTCGTTATTGAGTTTACTGCTTTACGAGCGCATGTGACTGGACGATTTTATGATTTCTCCTATTTTGTCTCATCATTTCCCCCTCAAAGCCTAGTCCAAGTCACAGTCTGTTCCCAGCTGCAACTACTCCATTTCTCTGGCCCACAATGCAGTGCTGCAGGCATCCTCAATCACTGAGGCATATGATGTGAGTGGACACCACTCAGCCAGAGAAACAGCCCTCCATGTGTCTCCCTTGTACTCCTCCATACTACAACCACTCAAATACGGCCTTCCTGCTCTTACAGTGTGAGCGTCAGTACTGCTAAATACATTCACTCAGAGCTGACTGTTCCTCTCACTTCTTTACAAAAGCTTAAACACACTTAACAACGTAGGAATGCTCAACCCTGCTCCTCATACACTTGTTGTATAGCTAATATTTCTCACTAGTGCAGCAAAGCCAATAACCCTTTTTTTCCTGAACCTGGCTGTTCCTCTCACACTCCAAATCTATAAATTGATCATATATTTTTTTTCTCTGCAGTATATTTGTTTTCCTAACAGTGGCACACATTCGTAAAAACTTTAGAATCAAGCTCAAACTAAAACATGCCACACGTCAACCATGCTGAGAAAGAATGAAACGAGTCACACGTGGGATATTGATAGTTAAACGTGGTTGTAAAGTTTGAGGGCAGAAGGTTCACACGGAAAGGTGTGTAAAGCAACAATAACACGCGATTATGTCATATTTAAAGGACTTGTAATTCACACAGAAATCGTTTACTCACACTCATGTCATTCCAAAAAAGGAGAAATTTTGGAGAATGTGATGATCACTCCACTCCATGCAGTTACAGTGAATGAGGAGTGGAAATTTTAAACTTTATACAGGACACAAAAACACCATAAAAGTGGTTAATGTGACTAACAGTCACTATTAACAGCTAAATTTACGGTGAAATTTAGGCATCCAGCTGCATGGATGAGAGAATTAGCAATAAAAGCTTCAGTTTTCCCAATCATTGTAATTGCATGAAAGAGAAATCTTTCAAATAAAACCTTCATATAGGTTTTTAAAGACATGAGGGTGCGTAAATATTGACAGAATTGTCATTTTTGAGGCACGCAGACAGCACACAATAATGTTTTTTGGAACTCAAGAAACACAAAACAGTTCTTAAAGAGACAGTGCTGATAATCTTTGGTGCATTTAGTGTGCTGCACTGCCACTTTAAGAGCAGGCCACTCCAAAGATCCTCACTCTGTTTTTGTTTACCTGGGCCTTCAGATACTGTTACCTCTACCCGCTCATCAAGCTTAGCCTCCTTACTGTCCGTCGCCATGGTTATGACGGGCTTTGTCTGCATCAAGGGTAGAGGGGGTAATAAACGTGAACACAGATGTATTTTTACTCATTGATGTGTTCATGTGTGCAAGTCTAAAAAGAAAATTGAAGGAGGAGATGACACAAATAGGAGATCACTTTACCTTTTCTTATGGGCTCCTAAACTCTCTTTGATAAAACCATGTTTATTCAATGCTTAATCTGTTTTAATTATCATCACAATCTTATAGCTCATACACAGTCTTCCTTTGTTATTTCTTGACATTTCTTTTTTTGCAAATAACAGGACCATCTATTTCTCTGTGTTGGGAATTGGATAAGAATTGAAGAATACAATTCCCATCTTGCAGATCAAACCCTTATACATTACTGGGACTGTAAACTTTACTTGGCTATAAGCATAGTCATAGTAAGTCTGGATAAATGCCCAGTTATAATGCTCTTCAGTCATAATTTAATAACGCACTGCTGCCATGATAAAAGAAAATGTACACAAACATCTCATTTTGTTGTTTGCTGTATAACTGACAGCTCATATATAGCTGTGCTTTCTCTTATGACTACATGTAACTATTATATAAATATTAAATATTTCTTATCATTTTTTTTTATTTAAGTATTTGTGTAATAATGTGCAATGGGCTGATGTACAATCATTTTTTGTGCATGATGATCAGCTGATATTATTCCTTACAAAAAAAGGGAATGTAAGGAGTATATGTACAATAATTAAAATGTGTATAGAATTCTTATTTATCTAGAAAAAAAATAGCATTTATGCTAAATAAATTGATGATGATTTAAAAACGTAAAAAAAAAATGTTTAAAAATTAGATTTAAAAAACGTTAAAAATTTGCCTTGGCAACTAAATGAAATAAATATGTTTAAGTTAAAATACTAAAATGACTACAACTAAAAATTATTTAAATAAAAGAAAAAACTAAATAAAGCTACAATTTAAATGAAAATTGACAATATAAAAATAAAAGCTACTTTAAAATATTATTAATAATGCAATATAGTACTAATAACACTGGATTGTGGAAGGATGGTGAATACGTTTTTGTGATGAAATTGCATAAAATAGGCACAGATGTTTTGTTTAGTGAAGTGTGTGTACATACATGCATGAAATCTATTAGTGTGTAATTGCAGAGAATCAAGTCTGTGGAAAACATCACAGTTATGTGTAGTGTATAGTGCACCTCCATATAGAGATAGAGTGCATTATCACATCATATTTATGCCTGGTCAGCAATCTGTGCAAAATCTAAATGAATGGCTATTTAGAAAGCAATTTTTTCTATCTTATGTTAATGGAACACCCATAGGGCGTACTGTACAATGGAGCAAGATACAGCATATAGAAAAAGCAAAAAATTAATTATTTTACCAAAGAATCGACTCAAATTCTAATGCACAATGTGCCCCTAATGTAATTTATATCAGTCAGTCCTAAAATAAAGCAAATGGTGTTTTTCCATATTGCTTCTGGGATTCTACATATGCTCATTCAGAATGCCAGGACAGAAAATGCCAAGATTTAAAATGCCACTATTGTTGTTAGTTAATCAAAACTCATTATCAAACCAGCATTCCTTTTGGCAGATAAAAACCTTTTGGCAGCACAGCATTGCACTAACTAAACACAACAAACTGTAAATGATTACAGTCTTACGTCATCCTTAATATAAGTCGTTTGTCTTTGTATGAATAGACAGTGTCCTCTAACGGCTCCCGGGGTCATCCTAAAAGTTTCACTGTCTAAACAGACTCAGCTGCTGCTTGAATGGATCAATGTGTCTTTGTCTGTTTGTGATGCTAGTCCAGATGTGTTTGTGCAAGTGTAAACGTGGTCCATGTTCTGGCCCATGTTAACGAATGATCTTGCTTGTGTTGTGTGCATTAAAGAAGCTCCAGATGTTGGCAAATGCACAAATTGCAGCCACATGCACTGCAGCAGGACACTGAAAACACCCCAGACAAACAGAAAAGGCTGCAGCAGAGCTACAGTGGATTAGCAGCTAAGTTAGCATAGCTGCTACAGTGCTAATTTAACCCACTAGCTGAAGTTTAATGGTACAGACTGACCTCACTCACCAAAAGCAGCTCTAACCTACCGTCATTACAAACATTTCTAGCACAGGCCTTCCTTTATGTGACCAAACCAGTGGGCTATAAAATGGGCTATAAGTGGATTACTGGAATGGTGCCCCTGCTGTGACTCCTGAACCTAAAAGCTACATGACTCGTTATTAGCAGTTATATGATATCCCATGATGCCCATCATAAAGATTTAAAATAAATACATGAAAGATGAAGATGCACTAGTGATCTGCTGGAGTTTGAACTCAGGCCACGCCTCGTACACTACTGATCAAAAGTTTGGGATCAGTAAGATTGACAATAAAGACATTAAACTGATCAAATCTGATAGTATAGACATTTGTTACATAAGATGGTTTATGTAATGCTTTCTAAAAACCATGCTCAATTGTTTTCTACATTATAAAAAAATGTGTGAGCATGAAATCAGCATATTAGAATGATATGGAATAGCCTAATGATGCTGAAAATTCAGCTTTGATATCACAGGAAAAACGTACATTTTAAATCATATTAAAATAGAAAACAGTTATTTGAATGATTGTATAAATGAACTATTTTTGCTAGAGCTTTGTGAAAGAAAGCTTTACAGAATGCCAAACTTTCCAGATGCCATCTTAGAAGAATTACCATTGATTAAGTAATCTTTCCACTCAAAGGAGGCATAGAAGCTTCATTTGAAGCAGCATATAAACTATAAATGTTTGTAATGAGGCAACATAAATGCATTTACGCTGGAATCACAATCTTACAAAATTGCTCACGGCCATTTTTTTTTTAGCATAATGTTGCCTTCTGTGTTGATTCTCATGCACAGCTAATAGAAAACAACATGTGTGCTTATTGCTATGACAACAGCAACATTTAAGGCGGTTCTGATGTTGTATTTTATCTACACAGAACTAAAGGCACATCAGATACTAGGGGAAGATGCAGGTCAGTGCCACCATATTTTTGTAAAGATGACCTACGTCACCATTATTGTAGCCTAAATATGCGACGGGGCTCGGAGCTGTCAGTAATGCCTGCACATTAAGCAAATCACACTTTATGAATTATGTATCAGAGGTGAAATGATCTTGCCTTGCGCAAAGGCCCATATATTATTATGATAGCAAGCTAGCTTCACTCGTACAATGGGGCGGCTTGAATGTACAGCTAGAAATCACTGAAGCAAAATGAGATGGCTGACTGCGCAGCGTATAGCAAAGCTGGTCTAGTTGCCTGTGCTTACTGAGCACAAAAGCACACTTTTACCTAATTCAGCCGCACAGCTGGAAAGAGCTGCATACCACTGAAGGAAAACCTTAGGGAACATGGATTCAACCTTCTGCACCTTGATTTACAAAGCTTGGTTGCTGCTCCTTGGTGCTTTAGGGAAAAAATATAACAAAACCATTGAATCACAACTATAGATCTCTAGTAATAGCATGCCTTATCTTAAGAGTGTTTATTGAAGTATGAAGGCTAATATTTCTAATTGTGTTGGTTCTGGATGAATGATGGTTATGGAGATCAAATGAACACAAATCTGTCATCAATAGCCCAAGACCTCAATGGGTTGCCTTTCAAAGCTTGACTTCAGCATTATTAAACCAGGCAATTCTGATTCAAAACATAACTCTTATGAAATCTGTGGCAGTGTAACTTGCAGTATAATAAATTGAGGGGCCTGGGGCTAGTTGTCACAATTTTTACTTTGTGTGTTCGTGGATTTTTGTTTGGCAGGGAAAAGTTAATGCCACAGTTTATGGGTTAAGCTACCACGTTGGAACCATTACAACATTTTAAACAATAAAAACGGTAAATATATAAAAATTATAACATTACAATAGACAAAACATGTAACAACTTGCCCCAACATATAATATCTTAAAACTGTATGAAAATGTCAGAACACAGATCATCTTGGTTAAAATCTATAGTTGACATTTCTCTGAATGTACAATAGTGTAGTTTTTATTTTTTTAACAGCGGTTAAAAAAAAATATATACGATAATACTGACATTTTTGTTTGGTGGACTGAATTCATACAAATTGATCTAATTTAAGAGTTTGAAACCAACAGACAAACAACTGCAAACAAACAAGCTTTTGTACAAATGGATCTTTGACTCAAAACCTCATAATTACTTGGATATATGGCCCTTGTGACAACTTCCTCATAACTACAAGTCCTGGTCTCCCTATATAATATAACATATATATTAAGTATACAATAGAAATGGCAAATAATGATGAATGTTCAACAGTACTCCACTTAGACTACAGATTCTCCAAACAGGCATTTTACGCAACTCCCTGTATCTTCACTCAGTATTTAGTCTGCAGTCAGCATGAGCAAGCTCTGTAGTCAGCCCTTTTTTTAAGCTTGATGACACCGTGAATAAGTGTGGAATTATGGGAGTTGTCATCTTCCCATCCACAGCAAATCGAAAGCAATCTGACGGGATTCAGGCAAAAATCATGTTCATGGATGAGCTTATGTAGTTTATTAACATAACTGTGGTTTAAAGCAGGACAGGGCCGAGAGCCTAGGACATTAACATTGTTGTTTTTATTATGCTTACATGCCGCAATTGGATGCTGCCACTCATTTCTTTTTGTTGTTTATATTTATTTTGCGATTAAAATTACGATTAAAGTTTACGTTTAACGTTCGCCTCCTTCCCTGAACTTGAACTTTCTTACAAACTTGAACTTTCATACAATTACGCTTGATCACTTTAATTCACATTATTTTATTTCATAATGAAAAAGCTGAAAATGCTGAATTACTCAAGTCTTTTTATTCGACAAATTAGAATTGTGGGGTAACGCAGTGCTGTTTTACTTGGTCAAAACAATCATACTAAAAACACATTTGATTTGAGTGTGTTGAAAGTTATGTTATAACGTTACTCTGTGCATTCGCTCGGTGGCTGGAATGAGACACTTGTTGCTATCGATATTAGTAGCATATCATATTAATAAAAGCTGGATGACTTGTGTTGCTAAATGGCCTGAAATAATTTTTTTATAAATCATTATAAATGTATAGTGTTGTCTGATATACTTTTTGGGTACGAACATGTCACTGTAAATCAAGAAAACAAGACATTCAAACAATAAGACTAACCGTGTTGAGCTATATAATTATTAGTTTTCTGTCCATAAAGGTATCCAAACAGTTGCTCACCTGTCTAATAAAACACATAGGCCTGGTTTCACAGACAGGGCTTATGCAAGGATTAGGCTTTAGTTCAATTTAAGTAGCTTTATTTAACATGCACGAGAAAAACAGCATTGCTGGTTTGCATCTTCAGGCACAACAATGGCACTGACATATTGTCAGTGAAAGTTGCTTTCCTTTAAAACAGATCAAACATGCACTTTAGTCTGGGACTAGGCTTAAGCCTCATCTGTGAAACCAGGGGATACTATTAAAGTTTCTTCAATGGTGTTTCAATGGTTTCTGAGGGAAAAAAAACTGAAATCAAGGGTAAGACTGATATAAAATCATCATTGACGGGCGACATAATGGCACGGGATGTTACACTGGATAAAATAGCTGATTTCTTGTTGGGAACATTTGGAATAACATTGCGGTTTTTGGATGTTTTAATCCAAAAATCTTACATATTGTGTCTTTAAATGATAATATAACTGTAAAAGAAGGAAAATGCAGGCCAGGAGTTCATCATGTGATACAGTTCACAGATGTGTACACACACAAACTATGGGGCATTTCTGCCATTAACAAGTATTCAAATAAAACTTATAATATAATAAAGATTATAACAAAAATAAATTGGGAACATAAAACTTACTTTAATACACATAAATTATATTTTACATATTCGTTGAAAATAAACAACGCACTGTTATCATTGATTGAAAATACATCTATTTTCATTACAATGCATACGATAAGAAAGGCACAATGGGTCTTTGAGGATATGGGGCTGGCGAGAGCTAATGGCAGTTTCATGAACAGAGGCCTATTGTGTTTAACAATATCTTGCCACATGCATTACACAGAAAAACGCTTGATCGCATTTATGGGCGAAGGAGTACACAAGAAAAGGCTTACCTGGTTGTCGATTTATCTGGGTAAGAGTCTAGTATGTATGCGTTTATGCATGTGTGGCTGTTCCACCTGCCTGCTGTTACTGTGGAGCTGCGCTATTACCTAGAGTCAGGTGTCGCATTGCACGGGTGCAAAGAGAACTCAAGAATGCTTATAGGTGTGTGTTGTAGTGCGCACATGAGGACAAATATTTCTGTTCCTTCATATGCAGTTTTGATTGTTAACACATTATGAATTGAATACAGTGTGAAAAAAGATGGTATGCATATTCATACTCCCATAAAGTTCTCACAATGTATGTTTTTGTGTTCTTAGTGGGACGTTTGCATGATTTCCTATGTGAGATCTCACCCTGTGAGATAGCCTGTGCCCAATATACATTCACACATGTGACTGAAAACAATCCTAGAATGTGTCCGAGAGAAGAAAAAAGTGGGTGATGATGGTGAGGTAGTGTGCTGGTTCATACAGCTGTCTCTGTTGCTACTCACAGAATGCCACTTTGTTCATTGGCCAGCTTACCAGGGGCAGGAAGAACAGACATGCATTGATGATTTTAAACTGTCCAACACACACAAAGACTGTGACTGTAAGCTTGTTTGTCAGCATATGTGAGGATGCGTGTGTGTATTGTGTTAAAACAATTTCAAAGAACAAGGGCCTCCATTAACTGAACAAAGACGTGTGGCGGATCAATAACGGAACAAACTGCTACCTGTCTCCAGTGTCAGAAATCAACTGTATTATTAAGGGGCAATTTCAAGTAGCCTGCTTTTATGTGGACATACTTATATTCCAACCATATGAAAACATGCCATTTCATACATATCAGTTGAATCTATTACTTGATTAATATTCTCACTCAGAACTGTTATAAAGTCATTTCAACATCAAATACAAAAGTTGCTGTAATGCACATTATTACAGTGCATTTTAATAAAATGTAAGTTTGATGAATAGCCCCACTTTCTATTAGGTGTCTTTAACTTCTATGTATTTGTGTCAAAAAATTAATTGTTAAAAACAATGCGTTGAGTTACTGAGTTCATGTTTTATTGCAACATTGTATTGCTTTTGAAGTGGGACATGCATGGACAGTTAGGTTTAGTGGTATGGTTCAGTTAAGGGAGGGGTAAGGCAAGGGGTCAACAGTGCCTTATATTTTAATAATATTGTTACGCAAGTAGGTGTCGGCAAGTGACTGTCTTTATGAATCATTCATTCAAACGATTCATTCAAAAATGCAGATTCATTCAGAAACAAAATAAGTGAATGTCTTTAAGAATGAGTCACGGAATCATTCATTCAACCAATTGGTTCAAACATGAGAATACTTCCCGACTATATAGTAGTCCAAATACATAGTATTCAAAAAACAGTGGGCGAAAAGTACCAGGGTGACCTATTCTTCCACTGAGATACTGAAGTGCGCATTTGATGGACACTTTACTATCCCATGAGGCCACTAGAGAGGATTTATGAATAGCAGTGAAGCAACTGACGCTGGTAGGTCACGTGACAGACAACATGGTGGATGTTGTACATCCGACTTTCATTCATACAACCATATTCATACTATATAGCACCCCAAGTGTCTGTTTTTTATGAGAGTCATTGAGACATTCACTCTACTGATTCGTTCAAAAATATTGATTCATTCAGCAACAAAAACATAAATTGTTCTTCTGTGGCTTTGTTTGTAATTTTAAAACAAAAAAAACAGACCAACAATGGGTATATTGTGTCTAAAATGGAAGCTACTCAATATTGAACTGCTGTTTAAAAACAATATTGCACACACGTGTCCAAATATCAGCATAGTAAAGGCTAATAAAGTATAGGTATGCTCTGTGGAGGAAATTGTTGCCCCCGCATTTTTAATATTTTTTTCACCTTAATTTTAGACCTTGTCTGTCCATCATGTTGCACACATTCAAAATACACTGTTCAAAATTGTTTCTTGGGAACTGTAAAGCAATTAGAGATCTCATAGGGTAAAATGCCGACTCAAAGGACAAGAACACTTAGCAGTTAGCATAAACAATTAAATCTGTCATTTCTGCTGTCCTCAGCACTACAGAAGGGCATGTTCACTTCATGATGACTTCTAACATGATGGACTATATTTAGTCTAATGTAATAGACTATGAACATGCAATGCTTTCCAAAAGTATTCAGCCCCTATAAGCTGATCTGTGCAGTTTTTTTGATGTTAAAATAATTTCCCTAGTCTCAGTTTAATGTGCAGAGACATCTGTTGGTAAACCTCTTGCAAACTAGACAGTCCATGATGTCAGTGTGTGGCCCGCTCAACCAATTGGTGTGAGTTTGGAACAGGACTACTTATTTGGACAATGAGAGATGGGGGCAGGGCAGAATGTCGGCATGTTTGAGAAACCTATTGCATTATCAGTGGTGTGGGCATTATCCACTTCAGCTTCAACATAGCTATTTTCAATTGTTTGGTTTCTGTTCTAAAAATAAATGCATTATAATGCTGGTGCTTATAGTAATTGTTAAGATGAGATTCAATCTCCTGCACTGGAAGGCTGAGTCTCTCTTGCATGTGTTAAACTTCAGAGAATGTATAATGACTCACGCTGGCAGTGAATATTGGCGTTTAATAAAAACTCCCACAGAACAGACACAGAATCAAATTCAATCTGAAAACATTACCTTTCAAGATCTGTAGAAGAACAGGCCAAGACAAGCAGCCCACTCTAATAAAGCACATGGCCCCTAGTGACCCTTAACTACAAAATATAAATCCACAGAGAACAAATTTCTATCTAAATTTCTATCTACAAAAATCTATCTGTATCTGTCTATGTATGTATGTATGTATGTATGTATGTATGTATGTATCTATATGTATATCTATCTATCTATCTATCTATCTATCTATCTATCTATCTATCTATCTATCTATCTATCTATCTATCTATCTATCTATCTATCTCTATCTATCTATCATCCATACATCCATCGTATTTCATAAGTATAGTAATAAATAATAGTAGGGAATTGCTGATGGCATGATGCTCTTCCTATTTACAATGAGCAGAACTATCTCAAATAAATATCATTATGCTAAAAATAGCAAAAACATGAATCACATATAATGTATCACTCCTATTTCTTACTTCATATATCAAATAGAATCTGTGTATCCTACTAATGAAAGAGGAAATAATAAAAAGAAAAGCAATATACTGACCAATCTTTGACAAACACATTTTAGATGCTGGTGTGATGTGTTCCCACCAGGCTTTCTAACAAGCAACATTTCCATGGCCAACCAGCTTCAGCAGAAAGACTATTACTCATTGTGCTGATAAAGAGCCTAAGTGTGCAGGACTAGTCTGGAGCTCTGGACCAGCAAAATCAAAGTCTTGCATCAGCGTTGTCATTGTAGGTTAAAGTTTCGTGTACTCAAGGCTTGACCTGTGTTCTGATAAGATATTTTCTGTATAACATGACTTGCGGTTTTGGTGAAATTAGAGATGCTTTATTATTGTGAAAATGATTGTTGTGAGCAGCAGCGATTGTATTATATGTGCACAGTTACACCAGATTGAGAACTCAAAAAACTTCTTACTTACAGCATTGCTGATTAAAATGAGAGGAGGAACTGGGCTGAACCATAATGTAATTACAAAGCGTCCCAGACAGACACACATTTCCTAACTGTGCTGTGTCCTCCTGTCGCAGTCCTTCTATCAAACACACACACACACACACATACAGACAGACACTCTTTTATTCTAAGAACAAACAGTTGTAAATAAAGGCATCTGTATGTCAGAACATTGCACTCATAAAAATTGGATAAATCTGTCCTTTGTTTTGTCCGTCTGTCTTTCTAACCCCTCCATTCTTGCGTCTAGATCTTAAAATATCGCTTTTTGTACAGAAACTTGTGCAGTGTCATTGTTAACTGTGGTCTGTACTGATTGTGTTCGGCTACTTGAGATTTATATCAATAGTTTTGTGTTCACGCTTCCTGCTCCACCTCACCACACAAGTCTTAGTCAAAGCAACAACCCTTCAGATGAATTATTAAATGAGAATTCATTATTAATTATGAAATTATTCACATAGGATCTGAGGGTTTGTTGGAAAAACTTCAATATAAAAGTATAAGCATGTTAAATGGACACATTATCATCGTGTTTACACTAATTAGGACAGAAAACCAACGGAACCTGAAGCATTCAACCTCAAATGCACGTGAATCGCCACTTGCCCCGACTAATTGACTGACCTACATGTCAGCAATAGTGTGTTCTAGTGTCTAGGCAACATTTGCCGTTTCCATACATTCAATTATATTGCTACTGTAATATGGCTGGATCATTCTATGAAAAACATATAAACACTTACTTCATGTGATGTTTTAAGTGTATCTCTTCTCAAGATCATGTTCTAATGATACTAAAGTGCAGATTGTGTTACATTATATCTGAGAGGGTCACGTTACTCTAAGTGCCTATTTAGACACAGTTTGGTAGTTTAATAGGGAATATGAATTCCTCTTGGGATAAATGGAAAGCTCTATATTAATATTGTCTATCTGTGTTGTACTACACTAGAGGGCAATGTTATACCACATAATGTCACGTCGAATTTGTGTGAGCCTAATAAAGTGGGTTTAATTAGGTCATATTGTTATGGAAAATAACATCCTATAAAGTCCAGCATGTACCCAATGCCGACTAAAGTGTAACCTTATTCAGATTATGTTGTGGGATCGCCTGTCACAGAAAACAAAAGCACAGACACTCCTCTCAAACACACATGGCCTTTCCTCTTCACTGGTCAAATTGTATTGATGCAGTACTTTTTATGGATTAATATTAATTGGCCTTTTCATTAATTATTTATAGTGGGAGGAAGCCTCGGGAGCAGTTTCTCTGGTTTCCTCTACTTGAATGCACAAATCTCCAAGATGTTTAAGGGGAACATGCCCCTGAACCGAGGTCAGCAGAGGGAACTTTTGAGGCCATTTCCTGTCTTATAAATGGAAATTGTTTTGCCTTCAAATGGCAGGCCAAAGAATGTACAACTGACAAAGGAGTACAGTAGCTTGTGTGTCTGGTTGTGTATTTTTGTGTGTCTAAAGAACATTTCTTTCTCCTTGTTTTTATATTTTTTTATATAATTTTATATACCTTTAATATAATATTTTGTCACAATGTAAAATTTTTCAGTGAGGATTCGTGATTTTTATTAAATTCTGATTTATAATACTCAATTATTTCAGGCACAATAAAATAATTGGGAGCTAAAAAGTATGTATTTGACCCGTGTCAACTTTTGTTTTTTTAGCCAGATAAGAATGGACAATATACCTTATTCGATATTTGTTTGATATTAGATGTTTTTTTTTTTCAATTTATTGGTATTAATCAACCCAATTAATTTAATTTTTCATGCTCATTTCCTCTTATCTTTTACAATTACCATAATCTAACACTCACTAATTGTTAAACATAAATAATTTAATAATAACACTGTTCAAATTCAATCAATCAATCAAATTCAATCAATTTTTCATTATTTCATTATAATTAAGCAATGTCTAAAATTCACTTGTTTACAACTATTTATTTTAGATTTATGTTTCATTTCTGAGATGAACTGTATAAAAAAAATACTTACATATCAGCCATTATTAGAAACATGTGATCCAGGCAATTCAAAGAGAAATTATTGTGATTTAATATAATTTCCGTGCAAGAACACAGTTTAAGATTACAGTTAAGATTGCTAAACCTCATCATCTGTGTCTGCACACTCAAAATCCATCCATCCATTTATGAGTTATATTAAGTGTACAGTGAGAAGAAATCACAACCTTATATGGTAAGTGTAATGTTTATGTGTATTTTGTTTTATTATTCTCACATTACTGAGCCTTTAACAATAAGATCAGGATATACGCTATAAACAACTCATGAACAGCACAATGGGGTGTTTATATAGTGTGGACCTGGTAGCAAATACAAACAAAGAAACAAAACTGAAATTCAATTTAGAGTTCGGCATTACATCATCGTTACGTCATGATAAAAGAAGAAAAATTAGGCCAGACACTGTCTATTAAAAAAAGGTATTATGGGGATAGACGCCTTTCTTGCATTAATGAATGGCAATAAATCGTATCAGTGATGTAGGCTATATTTGGCTTATCTAAATGAGTAACCATCCATGTTAGGAACGGGCAAAGCTATCGATGGCATCTTTTGCCACAAAAGCATGCATTGTGGCAGGTATATGCATCGTGAGAGAAAACGACACTATCAGGGAACCATCAATTGCACCAGTAAGCATTATGAATGACTGACGACTCATAATTCAAATATTCAATGTTTGGCGAACATTTCATAAGCATCACTTAATCAAAAGGACTGTCATTCATAAATAAGCTAATAAAAGGCAACATATGAAGGGGCCAGATGGATGTGATGATGCAATATCGACGGTGTTTTCTACAAAATGAGAGATGTCTTTATCATGCATTTCAACGCCAATGCAGATCGAGACATGTTCATGCCTCCCCAGCTGCGCACACATCTGTAAAGAATGGTGGATTTTGGAAGATGGGCTAAATGACAAGGTCAGTATCACCGACAAAGCTATGCAGTTCAACAAATGTTTGAAAATCTCCTACCTCTCCCGCGTGTGTCACGGCACAGCGATCAGTCCCTATGCTTGCTTTATTGTGTCTCGCGGCACTCGGTTATCTTCCATTCAAGTCGCAGCACGCGAGCTGACCTCTTTGTGTATGTGAATGTGTGTGTTGCTGATGCTGCGAGTGCTCGTCTCGTCCTCCTCCTCCTCGAGACAGTTCCGTACGCATTCAGTGCGCGCGGAGGCGCTGCTTCTCACAGCTGCACGTGAAACAGGAGGGTGTGGCAGAGGCCGTTCACACAATAAAAACAGACCATTCTGACATAATATTGCAGCTTCTAGCCTACTTATACACCCTTTTGATTTAATGAATGCGTAAGCATCTAAATGTAGGTCACAATCTTAAATAATTACAGAGATTGAAAGTGCCCTCGGTGTCTCTTTATACAATTGTACATCGTTGTTGAGAATGATCATTAAAATAATACACTTCACACGAGATATTAATAAACATATCTGCCTTTTAGGCCCGTTCACATCAACCGTTCACGATTCACACCAAAACTATGTCTATCGTCTGGCTCTTCAAATGCTCTAATTGATTCTGATTGGCTGTCAATGTTTTTCAGATGGAAAAAAAATCGCTTTTATTAAAATGATTCAAACGAGACTTTGGTTCTCAGAATGTTCTTTAATGTTTTTTTTTTTTTTTTTTTGTTGTTGTTTTTTTTTTTTTTGGTTAGCCAGGAAAGTTTTCTTAAAGGCTACGTTAGTTTTTTTTAAAATATGTTCTAGAAATAGAACGTTAGTGTTTGGTTCGCAGAGCTGTCTCCTAACGTTATTTTAACTTTGCTTTAACGTTATTCTAACGTTCCCAGAACGTTCCCCTAACCTCTTTCAATGGCCTAGCATGGGTAGGCCTACTGATGTGGTCTGGACGTTTATAATCAGTAATACAAAACACTTGTTTTTATTTCTTGTTAATAAAAAAATACCCGAGCACATTAACCATATTAAGGATTAAATAAGCTAACATTGGTCTATTATGTATACGATATTTCACGGGGGGCTCATAGACGGCTACAGATTTGACATTTATTGAGCGCCATTACTTGTATTTAAAAATAACCACCCTGTAACGTTCTGGAATGGTTGCAAAAAATAGAACGTTAGAATTATTTGGTTCTCAAAAACAAAAACTGGAACCAAATACGTTAGGGGACCGTTCTAGTTGCTAGTTAAAATGTAACCTTTCATAGGCAAGCACTTTTGGCCTGGAAGTTAATTTACAATTATTTTATTTTATTATATTAGTTTTGTTATTATTATTATTATTATTATTATTTTACCACAACAGTATTATAAATGGAATAATTGTACTATTTTGTAAGTTACTTTGTACGTTGCTTTCTTCCTTAAATGTGAGGTCTATATTATCACATTATCATACTATTTGAGCCATAAAAGCTTCATGTATCAAATATGATACAAAAAAAATCATAGGTGCAAACTTTTTTTAATTGTCTTAAGGTTCAAATTGTTCGATTAAAAAAAAAATGACTGTTATTTTATATGTCATGCCTTTATTCTATACCTTAAACTGATAGTTTACCCAAAAATGAAAAGTATAAAAAAATATATATAAATAATTCTGTATACCTTCACTTGCAAGTTGTTGTGGGGCATCATGACTTTTCTGGTATGGAAAGAAAATGGTCAATTGTGTCCCATAACTGTTTGGTTACAAGCAATTTTCTTCCTTTGTATTCAACAAAGACATTCATACAGATTTGGGCTACTGGGAATTTTAATTTTTTAACTCTCCCCATATAGCTTAATACTGACTACTATTTTATCGCTATTTCCACTCAGTGTCCACTAGATGGCGCTGTTTCAAAGACTCCAGTTTGATGTCTTCCCTTCTCCTCGGCGCCATTTTCAAACAGTGTTACCGCCACCGGAAGACCGTTCACCGTGGGGAGGGGAGGAAATCTGCAGTAGACACTGATGATAAGCTAATCTCAAACAGCTTTACAAAATGAAAGCGCTGAGACGAAATACCCAAACAGAAAGCAGACTTTGGAGGTTTAATTGTTGCATCGTTTACTGTGTTGCCCCTGAGGAGAAAAGCTTTAACTTACTTCAATGTGCCAGATATGCTGCAGAATGAAGACTGAAGCTAATACAGCCAACTGCCCTTTGAAGACAGACTGACAGTTTATGTAAACAACATTAAGCGTCGGAGTAACGTTAAGTATGTATTGTGAAAATTGTTTGAATTTTTTATTTGTTTTAGGTAACGTTAATATTAAATTGTTCGCTGTATCTTTATGGTCGTGTTTTAAAACCTAGTGAGCTGCCTAACTTTTAGACAGTTCGTTTGGGAGTTTTATAGACTGCAGCCACAGAGCGGTTTGTTGTCTTGATTGTTTTGAAGCTCTAGTGGTTCTGAAAAGCCAATAATTATAATCTGGCAGTTTTTACTATCATTTCAACCTTATTAAAATCTTAAAAGTTCAACAATAGATCAAATGTTTAAATTTTCCATTCTTTATGAAGGTCAAATAAAGATATTAAATCAACTGGTGCTTTGACTGTTTTCATATGTAACACAGTGTCTGTAATATCAGTGCTGACTCGGTTGTTGTCATGTGAATCGTGTGTGTGTGTGTGTGTGTGTGTAGAGTGGAGCGTGTGTAGTTGTGTTGAATGACCATGACGACCAGCGCAGAGCGGAAGTTCGTCAGTCTGCGGAAGCGTTTGGATCAGCTGGGCTACAGACAACCTCTGGCCATTGAGAGTCTGCCACTGGTTGAGAAGCTCTTCAGGTGAATTCTCTCTACAATATGCAGTAGTACACTATCCATCAATAAAGATTTTCGTTTCTTCTGAGCCGGTCGTTAAGAATTACTCTTGCCCTGGCTTTATTCTTTTCACTAGTTCTGGCACAATTTATTTTTGCCAGCATATCTGGCATGACGCATGTTAACTTTAGTTAATTGCTGGAAATAGTCTCCATGATAATAAAACATGATACATTTTGTAAATGTATATATGTAAAACATGATCTGACTGAAGCATAATCAATCTGTTTTCATTTATTTCTCAGTGACCTGGTCCACACCACTGAAAGTCTCAGGAATGCCAAGCTTGCTGCAGGAAAAACAGAAAAGGAGAGTCGGAATGTGGATGCTCTTCTGGAGCCGTATAAAGCTGAAAATGCCCGGATAGTCAGAGAAAATAACGAGTTGCACCTTGGGCTTTTGAAACTAAGAGAGGAGAAGGATCGGATCAGCAGGGGTACGGGTTGGGTTTAATGCCTCAAATCCTGTTGCAAACAGATTTGATCTTCAAATCACATGGAATGGTTATTTGTAACCATTATTGTTTGTCAACAGAGCTGAAGGTGTACATCAGGAAACTGGACCATGAAACATCAGATCTGAAATTCCTCAATAATCAGTATGTGCACAAAGTTCGGTCCCTTGAGAAGGACTGCAAAGCCAAGACGGAGCGTATCCTACAGCTCCAGGAGAAGAACATGCAAGCTGTTGTTCAGACACCTGGTTGGTTGATATGTTTTATTTAACGTTGCAGATATTGTATTCACCTTTGTCTGTTTATGCTGCTATTAGAACACATTATGGTCAATGACTAAATTTAAATAGGAGGGAAGAAGCGATCAATCCCATTTAGGCGCCAGCGGATGCAAATAGATGAACTCCTCCCACCCTCTGGCGGCTTCATCCCTCCATCTGTGGCACAACCAGATGATCCCTATATCGCTGACCTTCTTCAGGTGGCTGATGACAGGTGTGGAGAACAAAACAAAACAGAATCACAATAAATCAATTATTTTGTAATTAATGCATTTGTTGGTAACACATTTGGTCTTTTTTTAAAGAAAATAAAAAAAACATTATATTATATATTTATTAGGAACATTTAAAACAATGAATTGCTTGAGTTAACATTCATTTTGACAGCCTTCCCCAGTTATAACACATTAACATGAAATAGACATTTAAAAAATTACTTATTTCTGTTTGTCAACATAAAAACAGAATTTATAAATATAAATAACATTTAGGTAATTATTATTATTATTATTGCAGTTTTTATAATAATAAAATAAAACTTTGAATCTTTGTGTTTAGAATCCAGGAGCTCCAAAAGGAAGTGGCACAGCTCAAGCTTGACCTGGAGCGAGCGCATGCCGGAATCAAGCATCTCAACACACAGGTAAGTGTTCTGTGCACACACCTACATTTCACAAATTAAATTACTGTGTTTAGTTTGATTACTTTTTCTTAGGCGCTGTTTTGATATTTCAGGGAGCAAATGGTTTTACTTAAGCCACTACTTGATAGTTTAGGGAGAATGACAGAGTGTCAGTGATTATAGAACTGAGAGTCCTTTTTATATGAGCCCTCCTTTAAGAGCCCACATATATCTGCAATAATGATATATGTGCAATAGGTTATTACTAAAAAAATAGTATTATCTCTGTTATTTCCTTATCATATATTAACAGTGTAAATGTATTCATAACATTAATCATTACAAATGTACTTTGTGCTCGGGACAGGTGGAAGAGCGAGATAAAGAGATTGAGCGTCTGAATCGAGCTCTGGATGGTGGTCGACCTAATGATGTCATCTCTCTGGAGGCTCAAAACATCAGCAATGAAAAACTTATTGCTCATTTGAACATACAGGTATACTGGATATCCATCTGATAGTTTTGTTTATTTAATCTTGTTAGGCATGTTACCTGACTGAGACACCCAATCTAACTCTATTTTAACCGAGGTGGACATCCCTCCCCCCCTCCCTAGCTACGGCCCTGGTATACCAATATCAATACAATTTTGCAGTTCTTGTTACCAGTTTTGGTACCAGAGCAAAAACTGTTGAAATAAGTACTTCATAAAATGTTGTACCGTTTTGTCATGTCCATTGGTTATCACTGTCATCCCAGTTTCTGATTCATTTGCGAATTTAAATACAGTCCACAATCCAGAAACTGTACTGCACTTAGTTGCATGAAAAACTTTTATTCAGATTGTGAATGGGTAATAAACAGAAATCAACTGAAGATATAATCACTAATGCTATCAATCTCTAAAACGCAAGCTCACTGAATTCTGCACTCTAGCAAAAAACTACCATTATAATAAAAAAGCTGTCTTAATTGTTCAATGAATCTCTTATTTGCAGCATGTTTACACTTT